TATTTTAAGCCATTATCTATATATCAAACCGTCACGTTTCCTTTTTTTGTTGTTTAATCGCCAAAAATCTTAAGAAACAGAAAAGTACTTAATGGCCTAAATATGTGTCTATTATGTCGACACGCATATATGGCATATCGACTAGCCAGGAACATATTACTTAGAAATCAGTAGAACGATACTCGTTATGGTCAGGCTATTCGTTTCTCATTAAAATAATGTAGTAAATATCAATATAATTTTCTCTTTTTGATATCCAACCATCAAATGGTTGAAGAAATAGTTTTAAAAAATACTTTTGATACACCTAGATACTAGCACTCGTTTCACTTAAAAAATCAGTAGAATAAGACCCGTCATGGTCAGCCTGACTGACTGGCTTCGTGTCGGAGGGATCTGTCCCGCTTTTTCTCCTTTCGTTGTTGGATCGTTGAAAACATTGAGAAGCAGGAAAGCATCGGTGACATCTAGATACACATCCACATCGGTGTATCGACTAGCGATCGGGATGACAGATTAAAGCGCTAATGCGACGATTCGAAGGTGACTGGTAAATAAATGAGAATACGTGCTCGTTTCTCCGTCCCTCGTGCTCTTTGCACGTATTTATAGAGCGTGGCCTCATCGCGGGGGGGGAAAAAAAAATCCAATCCAGGATACTATTTTTCATTGCATCGTGTTGGAAGGCCTGCACTGTCGACGTTTAACGCTGGACGTTATAATAACGAGAGATAAAAACGGTAAACGTCCCTTCCGAGAATCGGACTATTTTCTTTCTTCTTTTTTTTTTTTTCTTTTCGCGATCGCATGATTCGGAATCGCACGGAAAGGAAGGTAATTATCGCCGCAATTCCACGTATCATATTTCACTAAACTCGCGTTCTCCGAGTGGAAACTCGTACAGATAGCTTGAGATTAACCCTTCAGGAACCACGGTTAATGTCGATGACTTAGATTTCTTTAATCATTCTTGCAGGATACACAAATAATAATAATTACTATTAGTTGGTTTAATGATAAATTTTTAGTCTCAAATGGTGATTTAGTTTATACTCAGAATATCCTTGTGATCGTTCGTGAAATTTTTTCACGTAGGACTTCATTGTTCCCGAGCGAATTGAGTTTGAAAATTTATCAAATACACTCGAATTGTGGTTAATTGTGGACTGAATAAACTGAAGTTATTCTACCTGCAAAAACGTAGAATAAAGTTTTTCCATTTGGCGGCTTATTTTCCAAGAGAGCGAACATTGGTTGGTTTATTCGATAAATTTTCAAATTTAATTGGAAATTATATTCTTTTGACTTATCTTCGCAGGCAGAATAATCCTTATTCACTGCTCATTTCTGACCAATTAGTATCAATTTTCAAGCTCGATTTTCTCGGGAACGAAGCATTAAACGAAACGGCAGCATTACACTTTCCTTTCGACTGACTATTGCGTGTGTAGAATCATGCAACGCACAGAGTGGCCGATTAATACCACGATCGCAGGGACATCTTGTATAATCGTGAAATTTAATACCATTGAGATAACCGTTTCAGTAGAGATTGCACAGGAATCAGTACGGTGCACACAAACATCGCCCCTGAAAGGTTAAAGCGACCGATTGACCTAGAAATTTAGGGGGAAACACGAGCCGTTGCACGAAAATGCTTCTGCGAACGTTCTGGTCATAGGTTCAACAATTCGGCAGTTCGATTTCGTTTGTCGTCGATTATTTTGTTTATTTTACAACGAATATTTTGTAAACGCAGGTGTTTATGTTTAACACTATTGTTGAATAAAGATACCTGATTCTTTAAGTCTGTGAATTTTGCTTTGAAAAATTGTAGTACTTTATTCTCTGGGATATAACCATCTGGATTCGAGGATTTAATTTTTCTATTGGATGTTTACATTTGACGTTTGTCGAAATGAAAGAATTATATAGGATACCTAGAAAGACAGACAGAAATCCTTCAATACAAAATCCTTCAATACAAAAAAATTTACCGGGACTCCCGTTATATTTTTTGATAGTTTCTATACTACATTCTCTCAATCGTCACTCAATCGTTATTTTTATAATAAGACCAATTTCGATAATAATAATTTAGAAAATGTCATTTGTTGTGATACAGAAATTCGTTGTGTCAGTGAATACTAATATTGAAAGTTATTTTTACCAAATTGTTCATTGAGATATCAAAACAATCAAAGATACGTAAATAAATAAAGCGTTTTCTAAAACACTGGTCAATTTGACGGAATGTGGTGGAAATAGCATATGACAAACAACATTCGATGCTGGTTGTTTAAACATTTGAAAAGATCGAAAAAGATTGAAAACTTTCTCCATCAACTCAAAACTGCTGTTTCCTTCTTGAAACTCGTCTGGCGAAACGAACAACGTAAATTCCTCTACAGTGCTCCGTTCCGATCGACCGATCGATAACTCTCTCTCTCTCTCTCTCTCTCTCTCTCTCTCTCTCTGGTCACCACTGAGTAATCGTTAAGCCGCGTGTTTCTCGAAGGGGACGGATCGCGTGCATTTTCGGCCGCGAGCCAGCCGATGAAATTTGTACAAGTGTCTGGACGTTTGTTAACCGATGAACGTAACGAAACCGTTCAGAGTTGGAGGAAAGATCGTGGTTGGCGTGATCGATAGGGATCTTAATCTAGAGGGTAACCTCGATAATCTCGACGTTGAAATTGATTTTCGGCCGGCGCACGTACGTACACTGGAGTCGCTTATATAAATGGGTCAGGTCACGCGCGAATGGAAAGAAAAGGGCGATCATCAATTAGACAACTCTTTTACGTGGGATAACCGGATACCTTTGTTGTAAACCTAACCGTGTCGCGTGGAGGAAACGTTCGAGAGCTTGACATCGTCGAATCTCTTCTTCTCTTTCTGATACGTTGAACATAATAGACGTCAATATAGCGTAGGATGGAAAATCAAGACACCCGTTATTTCAGCAATCATTCTCTGCTTAAATAATAACTTTATCCCGTTGGATTCTCGATGGGTGTGCTGGCAACACAGAGTCATTTCTATCATATTGCAAACATTTTATGTTCTTAATTTTGACCTTAATATTTTGTTTATCACGTACTTTCTCTGATAGAGATCAATGATAAAACGAACTCAAATTATAAATTAAGCAACGTAAAACGTAAATTTTTTTTTACGACTTCTATCGCTTGTGTATCTTTCTTTCCTCTCTTCCTTTTCTATTTCTTCTTTCCACGAGAACACGTCGTAAATCTCGATTGCGAACGTTCGATACGCGATCTCTGTTCGATGCTCCACGCGGT